CTAAACTGTTTGTAATATAATTAAATAACGGAATAAAGTTTTTTGATATGTTTTTTTGCACAAAGACCCGTGAGTGTATATATATTATGCAGCTAAAGATTCCCCCTTGAACAATAAGGAAGGGGGAACATGACTGCTGCCCAAGATGGTGGGCAGGGTCAAGGAAGATACAACGTTGCTAAGGTTTGGGGGGTTTCTTAAAGAAAGGGAGAGGGAGGGGACTTACCAGTTGGCAGGATCAGTTGAGGGCTCCTGACTGTTTCTTAGCTGACTGTCCCCTGTAATTCAGAAAGCAAACATTGATTAAAAAAAAATAAAAAAATTTTTTGGGCTTATCACCTAAACGAAGACTTGATTCTGACCTTGCTGATCTGATTGCTGCCATGGCTGCCAATGGAGATGAATTGCAGAGGCTTCTGCAAGCCTATCTGGAGACCCAAGGGGCCCTGGAGGAGCTGGTATCGGGTGTGAGAAGTGTCCCACAGGAGGAGGTGTCCAGTCAGCCTGCTGCTCGAGATGGATGGAGGGCCAGGAGATCAAGGCCTCCGTTGCGTCTGTCCCCTAGTCCGGTTCAGGGCCAGAAGAGAGGTCGAAGTGGCGGCTTGGACACGCACCCGGAGTGGTTGGCGGTGACCGGGAGGCGGAGGACCCGGGCTGAGAAAGTCGGGGGCATCCAGGCCCAAGATGGTGTCGGCAGTCATGGCGGAGGGAGGGCCGGGAGATCGCGCAGTCCGCACGCTTCTCTTCCGGCCCAACCGGAAGACGGGTCATCACGCACGCCGCGGACGTGATGGCGACGCGCAGAAGAGCACGGCCGTCACAGGCCTTGCGTTCCAGCGTGGTCCCGGCAGGAAGCAAGCCAGGAACCACGCGAAGAACGTCCAGACGGGCAGCCGTGAGGAGGAGCAGAGACCACAGGGCAAGTGTCGCACTGCAGTGAACAGAGTGCGGTCGGGCCATGAGGCTGGCCGCGGGTTCCCACTGTCCACAGGGTCCAGTTGCAGTTCGGAAGAAGGTGAAGCCCATCATCCTCAGCCGGCCAGCGGTGAGTGTTGCGCCAGCGCTTGGGCGCAAGCTGGGGATGGGGCCAGGGTAGGTAGTGGGTTGAGGGGACAGGAGGGATTTGATAGTGGGTTCATGGGGCAGGAGGTTCTGGGATTACTTAAGGCTGTGCTAGAAAGCCTCCCACCTGGTGGGCCTTCACTCCCAGTTGCTCTGCCTTCCCAGGCCCCTGAACAGGATAGGGGTCTGTGAAATGCCCAGTTAGGTGGGGCGCGGGGCTGCTTGCCAGGCTGTGAGCTGTCCCCATTGGGGATGCATGTGGCTCTGGACGTTAAAGAAAAGATTATTAAAGGGGAGTACGTGGACTTTCTGTCCTTGGTTCCCCGGACCGGGAGTCCGTAGATAGGCCGCGGCGGGGGATTCAGCGGACGGTGAGAAAGGTAAGTCGCTGCTGCATACATTTGGGAATTGGCTTCAAAGGTTCGCTATATTCGTGAGCGTGCTGACGCGGGCCTTTCCTGAGAAGGCACCAGCGCTTTTTGGACATTTAGATCTTATATGAGGGGCGTATAAGGTTTATGGGGGTCAATGTTGGTTCCGATACGACCAACAATTTCGCCAGGAGATGGCGATGTGTCCAGGCATGGACTTTGGGGTACAGGACGGGAGCCTTCGGCTCTTGCTGATGACCCCCAGTCGTCCATCCCCCTTTCCTGGGGCAGCCGGCGTACCGTCCAGTGCGCCGGCTGGGCAGCGCAGGGGCGTCTGCTGGCTCTACAATGAGAGCCATTGCAAGTGGTTCCGATCATGCCGATTCAGGCACGAGTGCTCTCATTGTGGAGGGGCCCACCCTGCCCTGCGCTGCTACAAGAAGGGTAAGCAAGGTGTGAGACCCACTAGGGAGGATCTCCGTAGAGGAGAGGACTCCGGTGAGCGCGCTAAGGATGCGTCCTTGGCTCGACAGGTATCCCAGGCGTAAGGAGGCGGAGGTCCTGCTGGAGGGGTTTTCGGTAGGGTTTTGGATTCCATTTGTTCATTCGGATTCCCCTCGTTGGCGGACAATCTGCGTTCGGTAGTGGGTAAAGAAGCGATATTAGAAGATAAGTTGATGAAGGAAGTTCAGTTGGGCAGGATGGCCGGCCTGTTTGATTCGCCGCCATTTTCCAATATGTGGGTATCCCAGCTCGGGTTGGTCCCCAAGAAGGAGCCTGGCTCCTTTCGTCTCATTCACCACCTGTCCTACCCGTCGGGCGGGTCAGTGAACGATGACATTGACAAGGAGGAGTCACACGTTCGCTATGCCTCCTTTGATCGGGACTGGAGTTGGTCCCGGAGGCTGGAAGGGGAGCTTAGCTGGCCAAGTCGGACATAGAGTCCGCTTTCCGACTGCTCCCGGTCCACCTGGACTGTTTTCACCTGTTGGGTTGCCAGTTTCAGGGTTCCTTTTTCTTTGATATGTGTTTGCCAATGGGCTGCGCTATCTCCTGTTCTTATTTTGAAATGTTCGTGTCCTTTTTAGAATGGGTGGTAGCTCGGGATTCCGGGTTAGCGTCGCTAACTCACTATTTAGATGATTTCTTGTTTGTGGGCCCGCGGGAGTCGGATGACTACGTGGGGCACTTGTATTCCTTTAGAGCCGTCGCATCGGATTTTAGTGTGCCAATAGCAAAGGAAAAGACGGTAGGCCTGGTGGGAGTTTTGTCCTACTTGGGTATTGAAGTGGACTCGCAGAATATGGTATTCCGGTTGCCGGATGAGAAACTGACTCACCTGTTGCGGCTGGTAGATTCGGTAAAAGGAGCGAAAAAGGTGCAGCTCCGGCAGTTACAGGCCTTGCTAGGGCATCTGAACTTTGCCTGTCGGGTGCTACCGATGGGCAGGGCTTTTTGCCGGCACCTGTCATTAGCAACAATCGGAGTCAAGCAGCCGTTTCACTTCATTCAGATCACCCGCAGACATCGAGAGGATCTGCAAGTTTGGAGTTCATTTTTGGGTAGGTACAATGGGCAATCTTGCTGGTTGTGCCCGGCGGTGTCCAACACGGATTTGGAGTTGTATAAATATCAATTTGCTCTATTACCTGCAACTGCCAGACAGGGGAGAGACCACCCAGATTTCCCCCTGAAAAAGAGCGTGAAATCCCTGGACACGTTTCCCACCTCCCTTGGTGCCTTCTGAACATGTTGCAATTCAGCAGTGTTAGGATTAGTGTGTTAGGATTGGAGATAGGGTTAGTGTGTTAGCATGATAGGTGTACTATTAGGGTGGTATAGGGGTAAAGCAGCTATTAATTCAATTCAAGGGAGACACCACTAAGGGTGTAACTCCCACTAATTATGTTGTTGGACATGTATAACTAGGTACTGGAGAGAACCACCAGACTCTCCTAGTCTTCAATCGTTTAAGAAGTGCCTTAAAACCCATCTCTTTAGGAAAGCTTATGGCTTCCCAGAGTAACCTCTACCTCACATACCTGTCTCTTGCTCTCTCCTAAAGGGCCGCACTATACTCTCTCCTCCAGCTCTGCTTTACTCCACCATGTTTGATTGCTATTTTCTGTCCTAACGTGTTTTAAACCCCACCTCCCATAGACTGGATTCTCGTTTGAGCAGGGTCCTCTTCAATCTATCGTTCCTGTAAGTTTTCTTATAATTGTCCTATTTATAGTTATGCCCACCTCCCCCTTTATAATATTGTAAAGCGCTACAGAATCTGCTGGCACTATATTAATGGCAATAATAATAATAATAATTTAGAGCCCCCACGGCAAACTGAGCTTTATACCTTGCCATTATGGGGAATAACTGCATGGATGGTCACCTGCATGCATAGCGTGGAAACTCTGCATATCAGTGCTGCACGCACAATACACACAGAAATGTCATTAATATATAACATGTATGTAATGAGCACATATTGGCTCAGTGAGTGCTTTCTATCACGTTGGAGTAATAGTTTTCAATTTTAAGTTATCTTTTCTGTCTCCATATCTGTCAAGCCAAAGGTTGCCAGCGTCCCTCTGCATTATGGTATACTAATTACAAAATAAAATATAATATACATTATGGGGTATTTTGAGTTTTTTTTTTTAACTTGGTTGTTTCCTCCCCTTCTTTAATGGTGAATTTCAAAATCGATGATCTCAGCCAATCCAATGCTTTCCCATAGAGACCATATGAATGAAATAGTGGAGTTTCACTTCACTATTAATTGAAGTGTCTCTAGTGGCTACCAGCATGATATCCACTAGAGGCAGGTTAACCCTACAATAAAATCATCGCCTTTCCTGCAGAATGGCAAGATTTTTAGCTGCAGGATTCAAACGAGAGGAACATGGAACTAATACCAATTCATTGAGTGGCTACCTCAAGAGAAGAGGGCTTTCCGCCGCCAGAGATGTCCTTTTCCCCTAGTACAAGAAATGCTGTAGTATTCCCAAGCAGTAATCCAAGCGATAATAAAGCAGGTATAGCTGTTCCCTACAATCACAAAACGAGGCTCTGTGTTGAGGGTAAAGTTGAACAGTTTTCATGGCAGCCACAACTGGCCTTATATGCAAGTCCCCATGCAAGGGGTTTCTCATTACATATTCCAGGGGCATTCCCCACTGGACCTAAGAGGGGACTACAGTAAAATAACACACATAGGGGCGTAGCCTGGCAGCTGAAAAGCATGGACGTATGTCTGTGAGGCTCCTGAACCTGGAGAGAAAAGGAGCACTAAATACTCACGATACTGGGAACAGCAACAGAATGTCACAGAGGCAAAAAACCAAGACCTCTAAGGCAAACAGAGCATCCTTTTTCCTCACTAAAGCGCGGGAAGGCCGCAGCCTGCTCAAAGATGGCGGAGCACTTTACACTGGGGAGAACTCAGTCTCTCCACCAGCCTCTCCGAGCTCGATGCCGGATGAGAGGTCGCTGACTGCAGCAACCATGTGACTAATGATGGCTGAGTTTTCCGAAAATATTCAAACCAACCTGCGGACGCAAATCTACATGCTTTCCGCTGAGCTCAGAAAGGAACTATATGAAGTGGGCCAACGTACTTCCCAAGTCGAAAAGAAAATGGACAAGTTTGCTGAGGCCCACAACAGCCTCGCAGACAAGCTCCAGGAGATGGAAGCGGCTCTCCAAGAACATAAATTGAAACTAGTGGATATCGAGGACCGGATTCGGAGGAATAACCTGCGCATAAGAGGTATCCCCGAGTCAGTCCTCCCCTCTGCACTCAATACTTACCTGTTGGACTTTTTCCAGGCCTTCATTCCAGAGATCCACCCGGACCAACTACTCATCGACAGGGCTCATCGACTCCGACGCCCGCAACACCTACCCACCACAGCAGCCAGAGATGTGATTGTCCGGGTGCACTTCTTTCATGCCAAAGAGAGGCTGGCGCGGGACTGCAGAGCGGCGGAGATGCTGGAACCCTACCAAGTGTTGAAGATCTTCACTGACCTCTCAGCGGTGACCCTCCAATTTCGCAAACGCATGGCACCGATCACAGCTGCACTAAGAACCCACCGAGTGGCATACAGGTGGGGATTCCCCGCAAAACTGCTCATCAGCTACAAGAATGGCATCCACTGAATCTCTTCCCTCGAGACCGGTATGGAGAAGCTCAAGGCCTGGGGTTTCGAGCCTCCTGCTGCGGAGGAGGAAAGCTCCAGCAAAGTGCCGCGAATGTCGCCAGACTGGACACTCACCTGAATGTGGCTGATCGCAGCAAGTATCTGGCAACATGGGTACACTAGTGCCACACCTGTCAGTATATTAGTTACACTGTCCAAGTTCACAATCCCCCACTGTACAGAATTGGAGACATACTCCTGTTTAAGGTACTGCAAAACCGTTAAGCTGAACCCACTATCTCTGTCACCCTGCAGGGCTAATGTTCCATCCCTCAGACGCTGACACACTATTACTATGACTTGCTAGCTACTACTGTTAAAGATCTGATCTGAAAATGCTTAAACAAATATTTACTTTAACAGTAGGCTGAAGATAAGTTACAATTTGTATTTTACGGAACTTCCTACCTAGAAAATGTTCTAGCTCTTACTGTTAAATCTTATAGCTACCTATCTTGTTGATTGGGCGGATAGGTCATTATGTTGAATCCTCTACCCTCTTGATAGTTCCAGGGCCGTTTAGAAAAGATCTTACCTGGGGTCTGACACCGGTGTGGGAGACCCCCCCCCACAACACAACGCCACCTGACACCTGCAGGATATTTCTCCTCCCCCTCCGCCCCCACATCTGCTTTCCCAGAACAATTAGGCACCACCAAATTCCACTGTAAATCATTCAGGGCTATGGTCTGGCTAAGTAAGCCCATTGAGACCTCATGACGTTATGCATTGGCTAAGTAAGCCCACTCCGAGGTTTTTTGTTTCTTCCTTTCAATTAAATATAAAAAAAAAAAAAAGTACCTGCAACTCAGTACAAATTTATTACCCAATAGCCATACAAATTGCTCCTCAGCTCCAAAGGTGAGCTACCACCACTATGCCGAAGCTCACTACCACGCCCCCTGGCATTGGCGCCCAAGTCCATCATGGCGCTGTCTGGTTCTCTTTAGGTGAACCCAGTTGGCTATTTTACCCCCAAGTTCCTTTACCCCATGCACCCCTTGCCCCCCTCCGACTTTACCCTCCACCCCTATCCTCACCGGCAGCAATTCAGCTGACCCGCAACACCTCTATGCTGAAAGGGATTCCGAACCCCAACCCCCCGGGACCGGAAACCTCTATACCTCAAAGTATAAGACGAATACCACGTGTCCAAGAGAACAACAGAAGCTATATGCACTGGCTTACCACTGCACACAGTTCTGGGAGAAACAGGTGACCCTGATATAGGTGACCATACACAGTCCACACCCACAAGACACAAACTACAGCCCCAAGTATGAAAATTGTTACCTATAATGTTAAAGGGTTGAACATCCCTGGTAAGAGAAGACTGTTACTTAAAGATCTCACGAAGAACAATATTGACATTGCATGTATACAAGAGACCCACTTTAAGAGGGGATATACACCAGCCCTATTCACCAAACACTGGCCAATCCAATTCCACTCCTTATCCAATAGTAAAACTCGAGGGGTATCCATCTTCATACACAGAGACGTCGCCTTCCAGCTCCAGCAGCAACACATAGATCCTGAAGGACGGTACATCATACTCCTGGGGCTTTTCAATGATACTCAATATACGTTGGCCATGGCCTATTTTCCAAATGAAAACTCGAAAAATTATCTACACTCCTTGCTTAACAAAATCGACAAATACAAACAGGGTTGCCTACTCCTATGTGGAGACTTTGACTTCAGGCAGTCCAACCTAGACACGTCGGCCACCACCACAAGCCGAACACACACCACTAGAGAACGAGTGGCTAAAATACTTACCAAACTAATATCCTTGTATGACCTATATGATGCATGGAGGACACTCCATCCCACCGAAAGGGTTCATAACTCGTATACTCGGATAGACGCTTTTCTGGCGGACAGGGCCGCCTTAGCCCAACTCTCTAGATGCACCATAGGAGAGATAACCTGGTCGGATCACACCCCAGTCACTGTGGAGCTTTTTGACCAGTTCCAATTTAAAGGGAGAGGGACGTGGCGTTTCAATGACTCCTTACTCTCTGACCCAGAATTTACAGCTACTATTCGTGACGAAATCCAGGAATCCACGAACTAACGCCACACCCGAAGTGACCGACTCTACACTCTGGTCCGCACATAAGGTGGTAATTAGAGGCCTATTGATACGCCGCTCATCCTTTCTTAAAAAACACCAAGCCACTAGCATCCTAGAGGGCCACAAACAAATTGCTCTAACGACTTCCCTAAATAAAACACAACCCACAGGGGAGCTAGCAAATAAACTGTCCAAACTGTATGACCGTCTAGTGGAACTGAACATGGAAAAGACTAGACACATGCTACATAAGCTGCGAGCTACCACATACCACAACAGTGGCAAGGCATCAAAATACCTGGCATCTAGAAACACAAACAATATAACCCACGTCAATGATGACGGGGGTAAGAAACTCACAAACCCAGGGGACATTGCTCAAGAATTTGCAAAATTCTACTCAAAACTCTATAATCTACACCAACACACAAAGGTACACAGTCCGAACGACACGGGCATCTCCCAATACCTGTCCACCATCCAACCCTGTTAAATCTCCAGGAGCCGATGTGTTTACAAACACACATTATAAAACATTCGCAGAGGACTTAGCACCTCACCTCCTCCGAGTATACCTGGAGGCTACATACACCGGTTCTCTCCCACCAGAGATGTTATAAGCCACTATAGTTACAATCCCCAAACCAGATAAGTCAACCGACCAGTGTAAAACCTTTCGCCCCATATCCCTTCTAAACACGGATGCAAAGATATACGCCAAGATCCTAGCTAATAGGCTGTGCACCATCCTACCAACCTTGATAACAGACGACCAAGCAGGGTTTATCCAGGGGAGACAGGGATCCAACAATACGTGCAAACTCTCCCTGATAATGGAAGGGCTTCGGAGAACCAGCGGAGGCGGACTGCTTCTGGCATTAGACGCAGAGAAAACGTTCGACCGCCTCGGCTGGTCCTTCCTGAGACAGGTCCTGAACAAATATGGCATCCCCATAGGTCATTACACAAATTTGTGCCCTGTACTCAACCCCTACAGCCCAAGTTATGCAAGCGGGATTCATATCCCGTCCCTTCCGGATCACTAATGGAACCAGGCAAGGTTGCCCGCTCTCCCCATTGCTGTATGTCCTGGCTTTGGAGCCCCTCTTATGCACGATTAGGGACCACCCGGAGATACGTGAACTGAAGGTTTGAATACAAAATAAGTGCATTTGAAGATGAAATCCTGCTCTACATCTCCCAGCCCACGACCTCCTTACCACCACTCATGGACCTCATCCGTGAATATGGCCTACACTCATACTACTCACTAAACACGACTAAGACCCAAGCCTTAGCCATAGGGATACCCAGAACAGTCAGAGAAGCCCTTCGCATGAACTACCAGTTCGAGTGGCGGAGAGATAACATTAAATACCTAGGGTTGATTTTCACTAAACAGGCAGTGGAACTTTACACAGGGAACTACATAAGAGTATGGAACGAATGCAAACTCACCCTCCAGCGCTGGGGACCATTATACCTGACCTGGACGGAACGTATAGTAGCATTCAAGATGTCTATCCTCCCGAAACTGCAGTATCTGTTCGTACCCTACCCATACAACTCCCACCAGCCTACTATAATGCCGTTCATAAAGATATGTCTACTTTCATCTGGGCAGGCTCCAGACCTAGAGTAGCCCTGAAAGTGCTTCGAGCGCCGGCAAAGGCGGGAGGCCTCGCCTTCCCAGATATTGAAGCCTACTACCAGGCGGCCATACTGGCCTCAGCGCTCCCACACTTCCATGCCGGTCCTCGCCCTTAATGGGTGCTCATGGAAAACAACTGGCTGCAGCCCTTCGACTTCCCTAGTATGCTATGGCTACCAAAACGACTCAGGCCACCAATGTTGCCAACACCACCCCAGATTACTCTGACACTTCGGATCTGGGACACCCACAGGTCTAAATTAAGCTCCTCAAACCCACTCTCCCTGGCCACCCCCATAGGGGCTCTCCCATACTGCATCCCCACCTTCCAAGAAAAGCCTTGGCACGCTCAGAACTTGACACACCTATACCACATACATAAGCAAGGGAAACTCTTAGACTTCCAACACCTACGAGACAATCACAACCTACCGAACACTTCACAGTTTTCCTATCTCCAACTAAAATCCTTCGTGACCCAGGGACAGCCATCAACTTCCCCTGCGCTCATCCCTATGCACTCACTTACTAATTGGGAACAGATATGTCTCAACAAAAGGTTACCTCCTCAATGTAAGCCTATCTCCATGTATTACAAACTACTAATAGCCTACCTCCCATTCAACAAGTTATTACTCGCCGACAGTGGACCGTAGACCTGGGAACAATAGTCTCCCAACAGAGATGGGGCCAACAGTTCACCGCGACTAAATCTCTAATCAAATCTGCTACCCTATTGGAACAGCAGCATAAATTAATATACCGCTGGTACATGGTGCCGATACGCATTCATAAGATATACCCCGATAGCTCACCAATTTGCTGGAGATGCAACAACCATGAAGGGACAGTGCTCCACATCTGGTGACAATGTCCGATTGTCCAACCGTTTTGGCGAGGGGTTCACTCCCTACTGTCAACCCTGTCCACAACCAAGTTGCCCCTGCACCAATCTATATACCTAACCATGCTCATTCAGGATGACCTCCCTAAGCATATATAAAAACTTATATACCATTTACTCTTAGCAGCCCAAAGATTAATAACCAGAGCATGGAAGACCCCGAACTGCCCCACCGTGCCTACTCTACTAACAGACATAGATAAACAGTGCGCATATAAACAATGCTTTAGCAGAATGTGGCCTCCAAAAAAACTACCCAAAGGGCATGGGAGACTTGGGACACATGGAGATTGGCACACTCTGTAAGTCAGAATGACTGTAACC